TTAAAGACATCATTTGATCGAATCCTCAAATCTTCTTTGCTAAAACTCTAAGTTACATCTTCAATTCACCATGACTTACAATGCAAGTCAATGGTACCCCAAATGAACAAATAGTGCCTTAAGAACCTCGATCAAAAATCCATCGTGATCTAATAATCGTTAATGCTCGAGCACAAATAACTTGAAATATGTAACGAGCCATCAAACAATCCTCGAAACAAACATCTTGTATCATGATGATCTAAACATAAGAATGAACATCTTTGAGAAAACAATAATGGAATGAATTGAATTTAGAAGTTAAGCACATTCTAAATCAAGAACAATGAACAATGATGTTTCAATAAGTTCCACGTCTTTCTAAGCATAAATTGACTTTGATTCTTGACGAACACTTGTAGATGACATCATTTGTGACAACATGCAAAAAGAACCGCTTCAAAATATTAAAAATTGAGGAAGTTATGATCCGTGGAAGTTGGGCACAACTATTTTGAGATTAGGTCAAATTCCACAAAATAACCTCTAAAGTATTCAAACTTTTGATGATCCTCTGCACATAATCAAATCTTGACTAGTAAAGAGGAGTTGGAGATGACGTCAAGGAGAGTTATATGCAAAAATAACCATTAAAAAATATTGAATAATAAAGAAGTTATGATCGTTTGAACTTGATCTTGCAAACGTTGACTTTTGGTCGAAGTGCTTTGATTTGACTTGCAAATTTGATCTTTCCTCGCATTCCCAGACATATTGATGCACATATGGACCAACGATGATGAAATCTTGACTGTGCTTTTAGTTAAAGGCTAAACTTTGATGAAGTAGTCTTTGAGAATTGGTGATTCACCATACTTGAACACTTGAGGGATCCAAAACCGTAATTGAGGTGCAACACCCGACACTCTTAATTCAGACTTGTCTCTGCACATGATACCAAATAAACACAAACATACACCTTTATATGGATTAGAAGTTAGTGTGCATAAAATAAAATGTTCACACAATTGATAATATTTGCATAAGCAATGCTCGAAGGTGAGCGGATTAAAATCAATTGTATCTCGTGACCTTGATGATTTTATGAAAATGCAAATGAAGATGGGATCTTACGTCAAAAATTTGGGTATGACACAAGGCATTGAGGTTAAAGTATGGAAACATCATAAGGCATAGCTTAGGCAAGAATTAAATTCAAAACATAGCTCATGGTTGCAATAAGTTTCAATAAACATCACCCTCAAAAGATGATCAAACAACTAGGCATTCATCACTCAATATCATCCCAAAAGGAATAATCTATCCATATCTAGAAAATGATTAAGCAATCATTCAATTGGAAATTTAAACATGACAAGTCAAAAGCATATACAAAGTATTCATCTTAACTAAATCTCACAAGATTAAGAAGAATCAAAGCAAACAAGGTGCCACAATTAGGTAAAAATGATCTCCTAAGCTATTGTAAAAGTGTGTGCTTAAAACAAGTTATCCACACAAACATACATCCACATTTATGTATGCATCGAGGCATCATAAAATCAATTAACCAAATGATCAATACCTCATCAAAATGACATCATATCATCAAGTAAACCCTAAGTAATCAGAGGTCTAAACATGTTAAAAAATTGATTTAAAATGAACTTAAACAAGCCATCAATCACAAGTCACAATGCAAAGATCACTATCTAAACATGCCTTCACCAATTTAAGCCAAATAATATTCAAAATTAAATGGAAAAAATGATAAAAATCACCAAAAAAAATTCTTAAGATACACAAGTATCTAACATATATTTTGTGAAAATTTATTGCTAAGGAAAAATGATTTTATCAATTAAAATTGAAAAATACATCAATTATATTACAACAACTCAGGGGGGTGTAAACCACAGTTAACAAATGAACTAACACGAGTTACATGCTACAAAGGCCCAATTATGTAGGGGTTTAATCATCAATGGGACTAAGTGTTTCACCCTAAAACCACCCTCTTGTTTTTAGAACCTTAAAGACTTATGTTTCATCATATGCATTCATACATTTTTTTGATATGATCAAGGTATCCGTGGGCCTCATGGTCTTCTTCAAGCTATGGAAGATGACTATATTGTCAATTAATGCAACGAGGGTCTCATATCCTCATTCTTTTGTTCGTTCAAGCTACCAAAGCTTCTCATGCCTCAAGACATCCCATTGATTCTTTGTGTCATAAGAGAATTCAAGATTGCGAGTATTTTGAAGAGAATCACATTTCTACTATCCATTAGTTCTTGTACTAGGGTTTTGACTTTTGAGTATGTGACACATGTTGCGAGTAATATTATTGAAGCATTATCTTGTTATCATCATACAAGTGATATTTGCTCAAGGGTTTCTCCCTCATGTCCAGAGGAATTAAGGTCTTGAGCTTGGAGACGTCAGAGGTCAGAATTAGGGTCTATGTGGGCTGTGAGGATTTCCTCTTAAATCAAGGGATATTCAGTGTATTCCTTCATTAATCTTGGAGTTAGGGTTTTGTTTTCATGTTCATTGAGATTTCCTTCTTCCATAAAGCTTCTTCAATATGCCTCTTAGTCAAGTGGATTACAATTTTGTCATTGATTTCAACTAAGGACTTTGTGAGATATGGTTTGTGTGCCTCACAATTTCTCAATTCACTTCTTCCCCCTTGAGCATCACAAGAAAGAATTGGGGCTTCTTGGTCATGGCGTTTGAGCTTGTTAAATTGGCATTTAATTTCTTACCATTAGGGCATTTGCATAGTCATGCATTCATTCAATAAAATACCTGGGGTTCAAAGTTCAGTGGTTGCGCAAGCTAGGGTTTTCAGATTGGTTTGAGGTGTGCACATCAAATAAGCTTGATCATATGATTTATCTTTTAGAGAAAGATTCGGGGAAATAAAGGTTTCTCCATGGATTGAGGTTGATGACTTCTCAATATTAATGTAACTGGCTCTCATGGCATGAAGCTAGGGTTTTGAATTACAAGCATTATGACCATTCTTTGGCAAGCTAGCAAGTTATCTACATCAAATACTTGTTTTCATCTTCACCAAGTCAGCTCAAGGCACCATCTCAAATGGGTTGAATTAGATAGAGTGGAGTTTGGAGTTCCAATGTAGGTTTATCATTATTTGTTTCTTTCAATACAAGATACTTTTGTTTAATGTTTTGATGGGGATTGTGATTTGAATCAAAGAGCTTGAGGTATTGTGGCATTCATAAAGAGTTGGTTCAGAATTTATAGTTTTTTTGATTGCTTGAAATATATGGTACTTGGGACTTAAGTCACTTCTTTATGTCCTTCACCATCTCATATTCATCTCTACCTTATTCATCATGTTCGCCACTTAATCATTGCATTAAAGTGACCATGTTCTTCAAGTTCACTTTAAAGCTAGGAAACTTGTTTACTTCAAGACCTTGACTCATGTTTCAAATCAACTTCAAGAGTTCATGTTCATAGATTAGTTTTAAGCTTCAAACATAAGGGATTCAAGTTTGATTATGGTTCATTCAATATGACAAAATTCACCATTGAAATCATTCAAGTTCCAAGTTAATTCCATCAAAATAAAAGTCCTACCATGTTCATTACAAGTTGTTCACAAGCATTACAAAACCATTGTCATCACAAGTCCTTTACATCATACAAAAAAACATCACACAAATTATTGTTCTAAAACCTAAATCTAAAATCTACTTCATGCCGAAATCTTCCTCTTCACAATCTTGTCTTCATGTGTGCTAGGAGTAACCTTATTCCATAATCACCTTCATGCTTATGTTCACAACAATATTCCAACATTTATTTAAACAAAAAATTGCCCTACTGCCATTGCAAAATTGAGAAGAAATTCCAAAGTGCATATATAATCAAAACCAAACCATCATTCACTCGGGAAGACTCGAAAAAATAGTTGGTGAGTAATCAGGATGGAGGCAAAATATCATATCTCTCTGCATCAGTCCAAGTAGAATAAAATCAGAAATGGAGGCAAAATATCATATCTCTCTGCATCAGTCCAAGTAGAATAAAATCAGAAATGGAGGATATAACCAATAACGGAAGATCAGAAATCATACCATAACTCTCATAAACAGAAAATGATAAAATCGTGAGAAAAGAAAATCAGGTCAAGGCAGAAAGTTATCACAAAACAATGTCTCAGATTTCTCAAGCTTAAATCCTAGCCATCCAAATCTCTAACTAACTTCAGATTCAACAACTCAGATTTGTTTCAGTCTCTAACAAACTTTTCAAATCAATAACAAAGTATATAACTGATTCATACCTCAATTCATCTTCATTCTTCATTCTTGGAGAATCACACCAAAAAAACTCCTCTCCACATTTCTGAGTTTCCTCTGAAATCCTCATCAATGTTTCAATCTTCATCTTTTACTGCATAATCAATATCGCACTTCATCGATTCCATAATGATCTCCTTCACTGATCTTTGCCACACTGCAACCTACATATCCGACGCTCTCAACCTTTCACTCCACAGAACTGTAATAACACCACCATCGTATCAATCTCCATCGCACACCTTTAAACACGGTACAATTTTAATATCAACATCACTTCCATCATCGTCTTCGTCCACCAACGCTCCACCAGCGATACCTTCATTCTCTGCAACACATAACAACCAGCAACACAATGAATTAGAGAAGTAGAATCGAACTCATAGAAGCGGATTCTAACGCAGAAAGTGAAAGTATAAGAATAACAAGCAAGAATGATTACCTGAGTTTCTCGTTATCAACGTTGTTGAAACGCCATCGGATCGACTCCGATTAGTAAGACTCGACTCTCCACTTTTCCTTATGTTCGTGCTTGATTATTTTTTGCTATGATGTTAATTGAACTTCTATAAGCATAACTGTGTAATCAATGAATCACTTCACATCAAAAACATATTTCGAATATAAGTTGTTGTTACCCTCCCCTGCTTCCGATTTCTACTGAGTTTTCCGAGTTTTAAATCAAAGCCGCAATGTGATGATGATTGAGATGGATGTAGCTGCGGTCAGCGAAGGAGAAGACCAGAGACGGAAAAAGAGATTGAAGAAGTCGAATGACTGAATCGAAGCTTTTGAAATGAAGCAGGATTGCGATGATATAGTGAGATGGAGACCGGAAATAAACGGAGGTGATGATGGTGTTTGTATCGTGAGATTTTGAGATGGATTCAAGGATGAATGGGAGACGGAGATTGGTGGAGGAGTCGTGCTGTCAAGTTGAAGAGGAAGGAGATCGTTTTCTCGAAGAATCTGAAGAGTCATAACCTAACTCTTATCAAAATTGCATTGGTTCATCATATTATTTGTTCATTTTTTTATTTAGTTTTTATAAGAGTATTATAGAATGGACTAAAAAATGATGATGATGTTGGACTCTCACGAACTAAACCGTTTCTCCTTAGGCCCATCTTTTTATGCTGGATAATTGAACAGAAGAAAAATGCTTAGCAAATTGCAATTTGGGCCTTAACGCCAACTTTTTGCATCTTAGTCCCTGATTCAGCTTAGCACCCCCTTGATCATCTTATTTTCTTTGTTAGATTTAGGACTTACTGTGATATGGTGGGAGAGTTGATTTTTAGTTTTGCGTTTTATCGCAAATGTTACGGATAGTAAGAGTCGTCACTGCCTTTTCTTTTATACAATAAAGGAAAGATTGAAAAGAACAGGAAAGACCTTTGAGAATTTTTCTGAGTTCGGAGGGTAGGTTATGAAAAGGGAAGGTGTTAGCACTATTTTCATACGTAGTTATCTACGGGCTCTTAATCGCTAGCTCACTTTTGAAAATGCTTTGTGAATGTGTAAGTTTGAAAATATTTTGAAAATTTCTAAGTTCGGCAACTTTGTAATGATTATCGTATCGTTGAGAACGCATACAAAGTGTTTGTTTTGAAAATACTTCAGAAAAGTGTTTGTGTGAAAAATGTTTTGAAATGTTCACGAGCAAGCGATTAAGAACTATCTACCTACTCAAAAGTATTTTGTTCTTTTCCTCCTCCTTTAGATAGTGTCATCCTACCATTAGTTAATAGGAAGCCCTATTATTGGATGTTTGAGAGACATGTGCGGGTCATCGTACAATCATAAAGGCAACTTGTAAGACGCTTTAGCAGTTTATCGTAAGGGACTAAGATTGTTTACCGAAGGCAGCATCGAATGGTCATCGAGGGACTACGATCTTTTTAACCGAGGGTCTTTGCTAAAGTGTCCCACGTTCGAGGGACATGATTGTTTTATCCGAAGACAACAAATGGAGTCACCCTAGAGGTGTGTGTATAAAAAATACTTTGTTTCAGATATATTATCTTGATTTTTAGGGTTAGCTATGGTTGCTTTTAGTCTTTTCATACAAGCCAGTTAACATACATCTAACAGAGTTTATAATGAAAGCGGTAAAGACAAAAAATAAATTTCCTACGCTATTACAATGCTTCGGGAAGGGGGATACAAAATCATAAAAATGGAGGGAAGAAACAGTAAACCCTAGTTTAAGCTATTACAACCTTTATCAGTTACATAATTATGAAAAATTAATACGAAAATAAGAAAAACGCGAAGATTGCAAACGGGGGAAAATGTGGAAAAATTGTCTTGATAAAAAATGATGATGATTAATCTAACCTAATTGTTTTTAAATTGATAAAAAGGAATTAAATTAAACCTAAAATAAAAACCCTAAATTATTTTTAATGGAGGATAATTTAGTGATAAAACCTAAATAAACTAATTTAATTAATTCAATTAATTTAATTAAAAGAAAAGTTAATTATTTAATTTATTTAATTAAATAAAAATTCTAGATCTAAGTTAATTTTAATTTTTATTAGCAAAAAAGTTTAATTATTGAAAAAAATAGAAATTTTAAAAGAAAAAGAAATGGGCCTGCAGAAGTAAACCCATGTGGGGTATGAGAAAGAATTCGCTTAGGCCCAAAACATGGAAGCCCAAATTGCTTGCACTGGATCTAGTGAGGTTGGCTCTTGGAGGTTCATGATGGGGGGACACATCTGAGGCACTGGATTTGGATATGTTGAGATCTGATGGTCAAGATGGGAGATGCATGGTGCATACACTAGACTGGTTGGTACTGGATCTGCAAGAGAAAAACAATGAAAAATAACATACCATGGGCAGGGATCTAACCCATGCTCTGGTATACTAACACCTTTGTGAACACGCTCTTACTGTTGGAGCGGTCGTTACATCTGGTAGCTTGTATCAAATAATAACAATATATTACAAAATCAATTCCAAATATCAGTCAAATAAAAGCGCGCGTCCAAGTGGGGCCTTCAGTATTTGAATGGTCTAGTGGCAAGATGCCACGTGACCCTGGTTATCTTCGGCCACCATACGGGGAGGAGAAGGTCATCTTCTTCGATGACGCATTTTTTGAAAACCGGTCAAAATCAATCAAAAACGAAAACTAATAACCCTAATTAGATAATTAGACCCATGTGATTCCAATGAGCCTATTAGTTTTGCCTAAAAATGACTACAACGGGTGGTTCGAACAGAACTGATTATGGTGCCCTAACTATGGTGATACATAATTCTTGCGTCCAACCTCACATGTAATACGTCAAATAAATTCTAATGATGCACATGAACAGATTTATCAAGTTAGTAATGATTGAAGACACACGAAATCAAAGTTAGAAGTTTACCAATCTTGACAACCAGTGTGGTTGGGATATTGCATTCTGGCACTCGAGAGATGCAGCTATGGATTTGGATCACCTCCTTTGATCCTTAGGAAATGATTACTGGCCTTAGTTTCAATTGAGAATGACTGGAAGTTAGGATACATATCTTGCACTTTCTTTGAATTTTTATGGATTTTTTAAGGGCTCTTCAGTCAGTATTTCGTGTCCTTGTTGGTCTGGCTTGTTGCGCTTAAATAGAGGAATGGAAAGAAGCAACAAATATGGAAAAATCTCATGCAATCATGGCTATACTAGAGAAGAATCAAACAACTTTAAAAGCTTCCATTTTGATATTTTTCTTGCCCTTTTCATGCTCACACGGTTTTGGCATATTCTTCATGTGTTCTTGGGCCTCTAGCTGATCAAGAAACCCATCATGCACCTTGGCCCAATGATCCTTCATTTTATTTGATTTATTTTGTATTTATTTGAATAAAAACAAAATAAATATAAATAAAATAATAATAAATCATAAGTCAAGGTATGAGTGAGCTTAGGAGTCTTCCATAAGGTCATGGACATGTTTGAAACCTAAAAATTTAGGCCCATTAGTTCAAAATTTCAAGTGTGCCCACTTTGCACTTCATGCATTTCTTCAAAATTTCCTAACTTGCACTGGTCATAACTCTCTCAATTTTCATGTTTTGAAAGTGATATTGGACTTTTTGGAAAGCTCAAGATGTTCTCTTCAACTTCTCTTTTTATCATTTTTGAATTTGGAGATTTTATCTTGATGTAAGTTACCTTGACAAAAAGTGTCTTTTTGTTGACTTTTGAAATGACCTATAATGTATGGGCTAATATCTTTCAAATGAAGCATTTTTTGGACTTGAGGATACATATACAAAGTTGTAGAGAATTTAATTTCCTCCAAAGTGGGCTTTGGTTGGGGGAAAGTTGATGAATAATGTGAAAGTTATGCTTGGTCAAAGTTCTGTTGACTTCTCCTAAGGAAACCCTAATTTGGAAACTTTTGACTTTTAATGACTTGAGGGCTTTCCTTGAGGAATCATGATCAACCCTTGATCAAATGATGAATATAACTTCAAAATGTTTATGTTGTCCAAAAACCTTGAAGTTTGACTATATGTTAACCATAGTTGACTTTTTACCCAATACAGTTGATTTTCAATCATCTGAGCAATTGACTGAGAAAACTTGTTATGCAAGACTTGAAACTTGATATGAGTATCCTTGAAGACATATGAAGAACCATGGAAACCACTTAAGACCTTTGAAACCCAATCTTCCTTGAGAAACTCAAGATCCTAGTTGTAGACTCCTTGCTTAGGAGGAGGTTTGACTGGTCAACCCTTGAGTATCCTTGATTACTTGAGACCCTTAGAAGAATGTTTTGAAGAAATGGGAGGGAAAATTTTGGGATACAACATCTGCCCATGTTCAATCTTCTTAAACCTTAAGAGTTATATTGGCATGTCCGCCATTCGTGACTTGAAGGTAGAAGATGATTGAACACTTAAGTGCCCAGAAATTTGCACTCGCCTATGCAAGAAGTAATGTTGTTGGTTGATTGTATCAGGAATTGGCTTAAGGATGCCATTTGGAGAGGTGATGGAGAGTCGTCAGAGATGAGATTATAGATGCCATCTAGAGGTAACTGTTGATAGCAGTATCGGAATGAGTCTACGCTCGACTGTATCTGAAGAATGCTTTCTAGAATGAACCTCTATGGAAAACAATAAAATGCAATACATGCAATAAAATAAACAAGTAACACATAAAGAAAAACACCCAATGAATATAACAAACCGAAACTAGGATTGTCTCACTTAGGTTTCCCCAGTGAAGTTGCCAACTAAAGAAACTAGAAAAATAATGAACAATGAAGTCATCATCGAATATTTATTTATCCCGGGGAAGGGAAAGGAAAACATCAAAGAAAAACCTGAGAAAGTAAAAGATCAAGGTTTCACGAGACCAAGAGAAGTGTAAGGGAGTCAATTATACAAGGGGAAGGCATTAGCACCCCTCACGTATGTGATACTCCACAAGATCCATCCTTGTTGTTCTAATCAAAGGGTATGTTTATATCTAAAGCTTACAAGCTAAGGAAATGCATGAGAATGAATTGTCAACAAACAAAAAAAGTTTTTATCATTGTGCTCGCCTCGATTTTTAAACCTCGTGCCTACGTATCCCCGTCGTGCAATAGAGAATCAGAGCACCATAGTTCTTCTAAAAAAGAATTGCTTTGTTTGTGTTTTTTTTAACCGGATGATATTACATTCACATTCTAGCAGCTGCATTTACCGCTCGATCTTTGGAGACTTATGTGTCGTATTGCGCAGAATGGAAATAACATATCCTTTTTATGAAAGGATTTTCAAAAGAAAAACTTGAAGGTAAACAAGATTCGATTGGTTGAGTCATTTTTTTACCTTGAGAATAATTTGGCAATTTGAACCATGTTAAAGTCTATGAATGGAAGGAAGAACAAGGTTAGGAATGCATCTCCTCATACTTCTCCCAATACTTAAGGCTCATGACACATGGTTCGCCTCTTTATTATTAAGTATTTGGAGATATTGATAAGAA